CCTCCTCCTCCTTCTTCTTCTTCTTCTTCTTCTTCTTCTTCTTCTTCTTCTTCTTCTTCTTCTTCTTCTTCTTCTTCTTCTTCTTCTTCTTCTTCTTCTTCTTTCCCCTTCTCCCTTGCTCTGGTGGAAGAAGAATCTTGCCAGCAGACAGGGGTAGAGAAAGAGAAGGCCCAGTGGAGAAAGAGGGTAAGAAGGTCAGTGTTCGCCACCTTGTTGCAGTGTCGTGAAGAGCCATGTTCACAATTACCACTCCGCCAAAAGAGCCACATTTACTCCCATCCATGGTGTGAGGCCTGCACTGCAAGGAACCAGCCAACCATAGGCATCATTGGGCATAGGAAACAGTGTTGTTTCCGGAGAAAAAGCCAAAGTGACGCCGTGATGTCGGGACGCTCTAGGGATTTGCCCCCAACTCTGTGGTTAAACCATCAAGTTTTGGGTGAATCCTAGAGTGTCACCTCGACAGCATAGTGTCACTTCTGGTTCTTTTCCCCAGAAGCGAGGATGTATGCCAGCATGACCCCCCCTTTCCCTTGCTAGCTTTTGAAGCACTGGCAAGGAGCAGGGGGAATTGCCAGGAGCTCTCCCTGTGCGTTGCCCACTTCCCTGAAACTTGAGGAGGGTACCACTTTGGGGAACGGTGGTCAGAAGATCCACAGGTGGCCCATCAGAGAGCCGCATCTGGCTGTTGAACCGGAATATTACTGACAAAGTTTGCTTTTAAAAAAAATTACGTTATTGATAGTCCGCTTTTCTGATTGGGACTCCAGGCGGATTACATAGAATAAATCAGGACAATCAACAGAGTTGTTGTTGTTGTTTAGTCGCACAGTCGAGTCCGACTCTTCGCGACCCCATGGACCAGCTCCCGCCAGGCCCTCCTGTCTTCCGCCGTCCTCTGAAGTTTGCTCAATTTCATGTTCGTTGCATCGATGACACTGTCTAACTATCTCATCCTTTGCCGTCCCCGTCTTCTTTGACCTTCAATCTTTCCCAGCATCAGGGTCTTCTCCAGTGAGTGCTCCCTTCTCATTGGGTGGCCAAAGTCTTTGAGCTTCAGTTTCATTATCTGGCCTTCCAGGGAACAGTCAGGGTTGATTTCTTTTAGGATTGACTGATTTGATCTTCTTGCAGTCCAAGGGACTCTCAAGAGTCTTCTCCAGCACCATAGTTCAAGAGAATCTATTCTTCGGCGCTCGGCCTTCCTTATAGTCCAACTCTCGCAGCCATACATGACTACTGGGAATACCATTGCTTTGACCATGTGGACTTTTGTTGCAGGTAGGAATCAACAGAGTGGGACATCCTAAAGACGGTGCGGTAGGCGTTCGCCTTATAAGAGATCAAGAAAACCAACCTGAGGCCGTCCCTGGGCCTCTCTGTGGGCCTCTCTCTGGCCGCTCTAGCTGGCGAAGTCTTGCGAAACAAGTGATTGGAGAACCCAGACCCGGGGACCTGCGTTCGAGCCCGTAACGGTTCTGTCCAGGGACGGGTGCTCAGTCGTAAAGGGGCGCCGTCGTTATCGCATCCGGTGTGGAGAAGCTGCGCGGAGCCCGTAGCATCTGTTCTGCATGCCGGAAACATATGCGAAGGATTGTCTCCTTCCCGTGTGTCCCTGTGCGCCAATTTGCGGCTGTCAGGCAGCCATCTGTTCGCTATCCCACCACTCGGGGTGGCCCAGCTGGCACTGACCACAGCCTCATAGGGCTTGCCGTTCTCCAGAATTACAACCGATCCAAAGATCAGCTCACTCGGAGAAAGGAGCTGCTTTGGAGGGCGGGCCCCACTGACGCCCCTCCCCCCCAAACCTTGTCCTCTTGAGGCTTCACCCCCCCAAATCTCCAGGAATTCCTCGACCCAGAGTTGGCAACCTTAGAGCCAGGGCCTTTTCCGTCGTGGCTCCGGCTCTGCTGAGGGGCCTCCCCTCCTTGCAGATCTTCAGGAGGCGACGCTGGGCCTGCCGCTTGGCCGGGACTTTCGAGTGGGGTTGGATCTGCAGGCATAGTTTAAGGGGGGGCAGACTTGGGTCCTGCTTGTTTGTTTTGGGGGTTTAAACGGGAAATGTCTCCAGCTGTCGTAGTAAGCGGCCTTGAGCTACGAGGAAAGGTGGGATAGGGATGTTTTCATAAACCGTGTCAGTGGAGGTTTGTGCAGAGGCCAACCCGGAAAGGGGCGAAATCAACAAGTGCCCGTTCACCTGCTTTCTCCATCGTGGCTCCCAGCCTGTGAAACGGCCTGCCGGAGGAGGTCAGGAAAGCTCCCACAGGAATCAGCAGCTTTAAAAGGGGATTAGGTAGATTCATGGAGGATCAGTCTATCAATAGCTACTAGCCCTGGTGGCTGAGGGGAACCGCCACATCCAGAGGCACTAATCCTCTGAGTCCCAGAGCCAGGAGGCAACACCAGGGAAGGCCTCAGCCACTATGCCCTGTCGTTGGCCCTCCAGAGGAACTTTTGGCCAGTGTGTGAGGCAGGATGCTGCACTAGATGGACCACTGCTCTGGTCCAGCATGGCTCTTCTTATGTTGTTAGGAAGGCCTCGGCCTCTATGCTCTGGAGTTGGTGGTTTAGAGGAACCAGTTGGCCCCTGTGTGAGACAGGATGCTGGACTAGATGGGCTATTGGTCTGATCCAGCAGGGCTTTTCTTAGGTTCTTATAGATAGATTCATGGAGGATAGGTCTGTCAATGGCTACTAGCCCTGGTGGCTGAGGGGAACCGCCACATTCAGAGGCACTAAGCTTCTGAATCCCAGATCTAGGAGGCTACATGAGGGGAAGGCCTCAGCCTCTATGCCCTGTTGTTGGCCCTCCAGAGGAATTGGTTGGCTGTTGTGTGAGACAGGATGCTGGACTAGATGGATCACTGGTCTGATCCAGCAGGGCTCTTCTTACGTCCTTCTCGGGGGAAGGCCTTAGCCTCTGTGCCCTGTTGTTGGCCCTCCAGAGGAACTGGTTGGTTGTTGTGTGAGACAGGATGCTGGACTAGATGGAACACTGGTCTGATCCAGCAGGGCTCTTCTTAGGTTCTTATAGATAGATTCATGGAGGATTGGTCTGTCAGTGGCTACTAGCCCTGGTGGCTGAGGGGAACCTCCACTTTCAGAAGCACTAAGCCTCTGAATCCGAGAGCCAGGCAGCGACATCAGGGGAAGGCCCTGATGATTGACACATGAAATTCACCGCCACAGGAGGTGGTGGCAGTTACAAGCATGGACAGCTTCAAGAGGGAATTAGATAAACATATGAAGCAGAGGTCCATCAGTGGCTATTAGCCACAAGGTATAGATAGGAACTCTCAGTCTGGGGCAGGTGATGCTCTGTATTCTTGATGCTGGGGGGGGGCAACAGTGAGAGGGCTTCTAGTGTCCTGGTCTCACTGGTGGACCTCCTGATGGCACCTGGTATTTTTGGCCACTGTGTGACAGAGTGTTGGATTGGATGGGCCATTGGCCTGGTCCAACATTGGCTTCTCTTATGTTCTTATGAAGGCCTTGGCCTCTATGCCCTGTTGTTGGCCCTCCAGAGGAACTGGTTGTCTGCTGTGTGAGACAGGATGCTGGACTAGATGGACCACTGGTCTGATCCAGCAGGGCTCTTCTTATGTTCTTTGGAAGCCCTTGGCCTCTGTGCCCTGGACTAGATGGACTGTTGGTTTGATCCAGTAGTGCTCTTCTGTATGTTATAGATTGTCTGTTAGTGGCTACTAGGTCTCTTAGTGGCTACTAGCCATGGTGACTGAGGGGAACCTCCACTTTCAGAGACACTAATGGTCGGAATCCCAGAGCCAGGAGGCAATATCAGGGGAAGGCCTGGGCCTCTATGCCCTGTTGTTGGCCCTCTAGAGGAACTGACTGGCCACTGTGTGAGACAGGATGCTGGACTAGATGGACTATTGGTCCGATCCAGCAGGCCTCTTCTTATGCTCTTATGAAGGCCTCAGTCTCTATGTCCTGTTATTGGCCACTCTGTGAGGCAGGATGCTGGACTAGATGGGCCACTGGTCTGATCCAGTTCTTAAGAAGGCCTCAGACCTCTGTGCCCTGTTGTTGGCCCTCCAGAGGAACCGTTTGGCCACTGTGTGAGACAGGATGCTGTACTAGATGGACTATTGGTCTGATCCACCAGGACTCTTCTTATGTTCTGATGTTCACTTTCCCGGCCTCCCACAATCTATGCAAAGCTGAAGTATTCAAGAGTGCTTTTCTGCTCAGGTAATAGGATTGCACCGTACAAAATGGGTTTCACAAACTTACTTGGATAAATGAATGGTACTTTGCGGTCTGTAGTGCTGTGTATAGCGTATTGTAAGCAGGATCCTATTATTCCGTTTCTGTGCCGCTTCGTGTGTCGTTGTGAATACTTTATGCTATCCTTCAGCGCTTTCTGGTTGTTCCAGACTTCTCGTCTCCTAATGCCTTGGTTAATAATTGCCCCATCTAGTTGAATGTACTGACCCACTATGTTTCATCCGTTTCGAATACATGTGAGAAAGGCGTGGTATAACTAACGTAAATATGATAAAGGAAAGTTTTGTGGCCAGTGGCGCCTTTAAGACCAACAAAGTTTAATTCTGGGTATGAGAAGAAGAAGAGTTGGTTTAATACCCCACCCTCCGCTACCCAAAGGAGTCTCGGAGCGGCTTACAATCTCCTTTCCCTTCCTCTCCCTGCAACAGACACCCTGTGAAGTAGGTGGGACTGAGAGAGCTCTCTTGAGAACTGCCCTTGAGGGGACAGCTCTGAGAGAACTTGTGGCTGACCCAAGGTCACACCAGCAGCTGCATGTGGAGGAGTGGGGGATCAAAACTTTGTCGGTCTTAAAGGTGCCACCGGGCTCCAACTTTGTCCTGTCGTTTCAGACCCGCCGTAAATACAATCAAACGACGAGAAATCTCACGTGGGGCATTTCTGTCTCCCGCCCGCAGGTGGCAGCGCGGAGGCCACGGCCGAACTTTCTCCATGAGGAGGGGTAGAAGATGCCGGCTTTGCCCGCACTGCTGCTGCTGCTGATTCTCGGCTACGCCCACGAGAGCGCCGAAGTGCTGTCTTCACTGCGCATGGGTAAGAAGAGCTCAGTCGGGAAAAGTGCAGGGGAGGGCAACCGGGATGACTAGGGGGTCGGAGCACCTCCCCTAGGAGGAAAGGACGAAGAGTCCAGGACTTTTCAGTTTAGAAAAGAAATACTAAGGGGGGGAACACAATAGAGGTGTATAAAATTATGCACGGGGTGGAGAGAGTGGACAAAGAGAATTTTTTCTCCCTCTCCCAAAAGACTAGCACTCGAGGGCATCCAATGAGGCTGATGGGCCGGAGGTTCAGGACGGAAAAAAGGAAATACTTCTTTGCACAGAGAGTGATTGAAAGGTGGAGTTTGCTGCCGGAGGATGCAGTGATGGCCACAGGAATAAGCAGCGTTAAAAGGGATTCGTGGAGAATCAGTCGGTCAATGGCTACTAGCCATGGTGACTGAGGGGAACCTCCACATTCAGAGCCAGAAGGCAACATCAAGGGAAGGCCTTGGCCTCTATGCCCTGTTGTTGGCTGTCCAGAGGAACTGGTTGGCCGATGTGTGAGACAGGATGCTGGACTAGATGGACCACTGGTTTGATCTAGCAGGGTTCTTCCTATGTTCTTACAGATAGATTCATGGAGGATAGGTCTAGTAGTGGCTACTAGCCATGGTGACTGCAGGGAACTTCCACATTCAGAGGCAGCCAGCCTCTGAATCCCAGAGCCAGGAGGCAACATCAAGGGAAGGCCTCGACCTCCATGCCCTGTTGTTGGCCCTCCAGAGGAACTGGTTGGCCCCTGTGTGAGACAGGATGCTGGACTAGATGGGCCACTGGTCTTATCCAGCAGGGCTCTTCTAATGTTCTGATCAGGGGAAGGCCTTGGCCTCCATGCCCTGTTGTTGGCCCTCCAGAGGAACTGGTTGGCCACTGTGAGACAGGATGCTGAACTAGATGGACCACTGGCCTGATCCAGCAGGGCTCCTCTAATGTTCTTATCAGGGGAAGGCCTCGGCCTCCATGCCCTGTTGTTGGCCCTCCAGAGGAACTGGTTGGCCACTGTGTGAGACAGGATGCTGGACTAGATGGGCCACTGGTCTGATCCACAGCAGGGCTCTTCTAATGTTCTTATCGGGGAAGGCCTCAGCCTCTCTGCCCTGTTATTTATTTATTTCATTATATTTATACCCCGCCCTCCCCGCGAGGAACTGGCTGGCCACTATGTGAGACAGGAGGCTGGACGAGATGGACTACTAGTCTGATCCATCGGGGCGCCTCTGATGTTATTATGTCAGGGGCACTGAGCCGTGGGGATGCTCGGTCAAGGTGGCAGAGCTATAGGTGGTGGCAAGGAGCCAAGAAGTTTGGGATCAGGGTGACCCTGGAAGTGATGGATGGCCTCCGAGACGCTGGGCCCAGCCCGTTTGGCAGCTCCATTCGTTATCCTCCCATCCAGACGGCTGCGGATAAATCGGCATATGGGCAGGTGGGGAGAACTGCAGAGCGTGGGGAGCAGACGTGGCTTTTTGTGGGACATCGTGAAATCCCTACGAAGAGGTTTAGGAAGAGGGTTGCCGCTGATGGGGGGGGCAAGGGGTAGAAGGTCTCGGAGGACCGGATCTCTAAGGGGGTCCCCGGATCTCAGCAAGGTGCCGCCGCCGAATTGTCGCAGCAGGCGAATTCTAATCACGAATCCTGTGTTTGTGCTTCTGGTGCAGGGGTGGGGATATTAGAGGATCAGGGCATAGCCCTATGAGCCTGTAACACAGTCTGGAATGGGTTTAAACACAGATGAGTAACGCCGTATGAGGTTATTTTAAGCATGCAAGAAATGTTATTTCTTCATTTTAGCTTTTCTCGTTTGATGTTTTTAACTTCCGTTGTACATCGCCCGGAGCCCTGTCCATACAGGGATTGGGCGATTCATCAATTTTAAATATAAATGAATGAATAAATAAATTTCCCAGGGTGGGGGGTGCACGTGGGGTGGAACCCAGCCCAAGCCCGTACTTAGTAATCTATATTAAATGATTTCCGTGTGAAATTATTTATATTTCCCCAAACCATATGATGTCAACCATTAATGATGTGGTTTTAAAATATATATATTTCCCCTCACTCATAATGCTCTTGAATCTCGGTCAAAGAAAGAGGACTCTGTAAGAGGAGAGGGAGGATGGCATGGACTCTGTCCCTGAGACGATTAGAGTAAACAAGTGGAGACCCGCAAGAAACTTGCGGGATGGTTATCCTATTCCTCACACCTTTGCTTCCTCCTGTCTCCCTCTACCTCTCTCACACTCTTTTTCCCTTCTGCCCCCCCTTTCTTTTTCTCCTCCAGCTATGGCATTATACTGATCTGTAGTTCCTTCCCTCCTCAA